GAGGGCTAAAACCCCAACATCTGAAGAAGAGGAAGCTAAAGACCTAGAAGTAGACATGGATAAAACAGAAGGTATGTTGTACTAAGGAAGTTCCTAGACAAGGGCCAGCGCCCAGGGACTCTATGCAACAATGATAACTTGTTATAATTGCATTGTAACAATTTCACTGCAAGAACTAGACTCAAAACACATTGTGTGCTCCATAAAGCACTTTATTCTTTCTTTTTTATGTGTCCTTTTCAAACAAGGATAAAATATTGGCAACAATAATAACTTTTATAAAGCCAAAAAAATCAAACCCTTTGCCTTCAAGTTGGTTCCTACCCAGAGTGCCCCTACAGGACAGAGTAGGACTTGCACATAGGGTTTCCTAGGCAGCAATCTTTACAGGGAGCCGATTGCCAGGTCTTTCTCCCACAAAGCAACTTGTGGGTTTGAATCACTGACCTTTTGGTTAGCAGCTGAGTGCTTAACCACAGAGCCACGAGGGGGCTCTCTGCTACCATTTATGTGGTGATTAGGTGCTGTTGAGTTGATTTGTACTCATAGAGACCCCAGGTACAGCAGAAGGAAACACTACCGGGTCCCGTGCCATGCTCACAATGACTATGTTTGAGCCCATGGTTGCAGTCACTGCATCAGTACATCCGTTGAGGGTCTTCCTCTCTTTCACTGATCCTATACTTCACAAATGATGTCCTTCTCCAGGGACTGATCCCTCCTGACAACATGCCCAAAGTTTGAGAAATGAAGTCTCACCATCCCCACCTCTAAAGAGCATTCCGGCTGTACTTCTTCCAAGACAGATTTGTTCCTTCTCCTGGCAGTGTATGGTATATCCAATATTCTTTGCCGACACCGTAATTCAAATGCATTGATTCTTCTTTGGGCTTCCTTATGCAGGGTCCAGCATTTGCATGCATATGAGGTGGTTGAAAATACCATGGCTTAGATCAGGTGTACCTTAGTTGTTGTTGTTGTTATGTGCCGTTGAGTCGGACCCGACTCCTTGGGTTTCTGAGGCAGTATCACTATGGAAGTAGATTGCCCCATCTTCCTTCTGAGGCGTGGCTGGTGGGTTTGAACTGCCAGCCTTCTGGTTAGCAGTCAAGTGCTTTAGCCACTATGCTACCAGAGCTCCTCAGGTGTACCTTAG